CCCTTCCCCCCCCCCCCCCCCCCCCCCCCCGCCCCCCGGGCGGCCGTCGCCCCCAAGCGGCTTTCTCTCTCTCTCCACCCCGAAATGTCTCTCGAGCCTCACCGCCTGCCTGCCTCTCTCGACCATCTCCTCCGCCAGCTGTGTCAGGTCGGCGAAGGCGCTGTCGAGGACGAGGGCGGCGATGGAAGGGTCTCTGTCGCCGTGAAGGAGGGCGGTGGCGGCGCCCATCGAGCGTCCCCACAGGGCGATGGTCGAGACCTGCCCAGACTTCCGGAGGTGCTCGATGACAGCCTTTAGTCGTTTTGAAGAAGAAACGGCGCACGCCCACAGAGAAAGGTGGGGAAACACACAAAAAGCCACATCTGTCGGGGGAACGTTCAGCTCTTGCATCAACTAGAACGGATCTGCGTTGATCTCGGAAAAAAAAAAATCGCCGCAGGATTTTTTGACCAATCAAAAAACACTCGACATTCCATATGCGTCAAAACGACTTCACAGCCATTTGCCACTGCTGCAGTAGCTACTGTACCTTCAGGTCATCCCGCTCGTAGTACCCAAGGCTAACGTGCTCCCCGCCGCTCCTCCCGCTGCCGGCGAAGTCGAACGACACCAGCGTGGCCCCTAGCGAGAGGGCCAGGGACAGCTGAGGCAGGGCCTCCACCCTAGCCGAGGAGTTGCCGTGCATGTACACCACGCAAGGCAACCGTTCCGCGCGTCTCCAACCGTTGGGCTGCCAGTGACTTTGTTGAGGGTACGCAGCGGGTGACACCAGTAGGGAGGGAGAGGGATTCGTAAGAGAAAGACGGAGGGAGGGAAAGGGGGGGGCGTACTCGTTTGTTGCTTGCCGTAGTCATTTGACCATTGACCACGCGTCCCTTTCGAGACGGAGCACCGTTCCTACACCTACTAGAGACACCACCAACATTTGGGAGCTCTTTACGTTTCTGCCACAAACTACATAAAAATTTCTTGCACATCTTATCCCCGTCCTCTAGGGCCTCTTGTGCCCACCATCTATCCCCAATTATCGCGATCGTTTTTTCGCTGTTGTCTAATTTACCAAACTTGTCCATGTCACACCCTCTCTGTCTTATTTCCTCCTCGAGATCCTCTCTTTCCTTCCTGTACAACTCACACTCCCCAACTATGTGGGGTCTACTCTCCTCCGATTTGCGACATGGACATGTGTGTCTATCCTCCTCTTCCTCTCTCCTACGGCTGGTATACCTCTTCCTCCGTTCTGGCAAGTCCAGATCGCCTACTCGAAATTGCAATTTCAGCTTTTTCGCGTAGTCCATGGGGCCGTCCAAGTACGTCTTCATCCC